ATGCTTTCTCTTCAGCACTTCTCATATAAGACCTGACATTCTAATACACATTTTGCACATTTCAGAAGCAAAGAAATGCATTAAACTCATCTCAGTAGTTTGCTTGTGTACTGTACTGAGGAACGGCACCTTGGTGTACCTTTACTTGTTTGCCTTTTAAAAAAAAATAAGATGGAGGAATGCTTTAGTCAGACTAGGGTGACCAGTGTAAAGTTAAGAGGAAGTCAGTCCACATACCAGCAGCCAGGATTTAAGAGGCTGCCTACTGGCAATTGCTATAGGAAGAAGGGAGAGAGGAAAACCAAACAAGAAACATCCCATCCCACCCAGCCCTGCAAAAAAACCCCAAAACTATAAAACAAAAAACCAACCAACCAAAAAAAGAAGACAAAAACCAGAACAAACAAACAAACAAAAAAAAACAAAAACAAAAAAAAATCCCTATAACAATGAGAAAAAAAAACCAAAACAAAAACCCAATCAAACAAAAAACCCCAACCAAAACAAAACACAACACACACACCCCTCCCCCCCCCAAAAGCACCTAGGAGAAGAAGTTAAATCCAATTGAAAGAGGCACATGATTTTTCTTAATGGACTGTCTTCCATAGTTTTGGCACACCACTTCTCTAGGGAGTCTATTTTGCATTCCTCTTCTCAGTAGGTAGCTGTACCAAGTAATAAATGCTGCTTCTCAAAGTTTTGGCTCAAGAATGTCCTACAGAGGATGAGGCAGAAAACAGGCAGCACCAGAATCTGACTTGAGAAAATATTCTATGTTTATGGCATCCTTGGGAAAAGCAATGACTGCAGCAGTAGTTGTAGGCCACCTGCAGCAAGATAAGCACTAAGCGAGAATTAAAGAGGAAAGAAATGCTGACTGATTTTCTCAAAGGCATTAAAGACTTGACTGGAGCCAGAAAAAGTGATGGATTTGCTGGGGTGTCTTTCACACATCTTCTGTAAAAATTTAGAGTAAGAGCAGAGATTATGGAGTGTGGAAAAGAGCTGGTGAGAGAAAGCATAGTAAAATCTTGAGAAGATACAGATGTCTGTATGCATTTATTGGCATTATGCCATTTTACATGTAGGGAAGACCTGTATTTGTGCCATGTATTATCCAGCCTAGACAGAACATTGCATGATGGGGTTAATGTGGAGGGTGCCAAATGGGGCAGTGATGTCCCAACATGCAACTGGAGGCACTGGTGCAGCATTGCTGGAGTAACTGTGTGTGACCTTAAAGGCTGTACATACAAGTCTTGCCTGCAAAACCCGTGAGAACTTTTCCTGCTATGATTATAGACTTTACTAAGTTAGACTCTCACAGAGTTATATAACCCTATGTGGTAGTTAATGAAGTGCTGGATGTAAGAAAAATAACTGCAATGTTATTTTTCCCCAGTATGCTTTGCCTTATAAGGATTAAACCTAGAGCTGATTCACTTGTGTTCTGTGATCTCTATCATGCTGCAATAATAATACTTCCACTTTATAGCACTTCTCACTTATAAAAAGTACTTGATAAACATTATCTAATTATTAATCTTCACAACAGTCCTGTGATACAGATACACAGGTCAATTTAATGTCCTCTTTTAATAAACTACTAGTACTTTAGTAAATTAAAGTGTAGAGCACATTAAATTCACTTAAGAGAAACAAAAGTTAGTGAAAAAATCACAATTCTCCCTTACAACATTCTAGGTAACAGCAATCTGTCAGTGATCACCACCTCAGACATCCACAGGAAAATATTTCAATTATCTACTTGAGACTCACTGTTTTTCTGGTGATAACATGAATAACATGAAAGCAGAAAAACTCTACCAAAACAACTGAAGTTCCTTGATCAACACCACAATATACTAAATTCTACACAAGCAAAACACAGTACTCCTCACCCTACAATGTTGGGGATCTAGGTATAACACCAAGGTGTAAGAGATGGGGAATCAGTACAGTTAAAGAGGGAGGAAATCAGTACAGTTAAAAAGCAATCATCCCTGTTTATACTGCATCTGCCTACAGAAACCTATGCAGAGCTACTCTAGATCAGTAAACTCCTTATCTCATTAGTACCCTGTAGCTCTCTCTGGTGATACATCTCAAACTTTAGTGTTTATGATCAAATGCTGACAAGAGTTTGGCATTTGGTTAAACATATCATGCAACCAGTCTCACACTAGCTATGGTTAAGAAAATTAACTCTACCCTAGCTAAAAGCAGTACATTTACATAACTGCAAAGTGAGTTTTCCACAACATCACTGTTTTACACAATGTGTGGCATGGACTTGTCTGTGGGATAAATTAATGCAGGGCAGAAGGCTACTGTCCAAGGATGAGATGGGCTGCCCCATGCATTGCTGACATTCAGAGCTATGTAATGAGTGAGGAAGGTAGAGGAAACAAAAGAAAAAAAAAAAAGACAATTTCCTACTTCTGGTAATTATAAAGTTTCCTCAAATAGTTTGGAGTCTACATCTAGTTTTTTTCATATGACAGTCTATATGAGATACAGGACAAGTTTCCTAAAGCCAAGCTTTTTACTCAAGGTCATCTATCAACTCATGTTCCTCAGGTGCTCCATGCCTGACTTGAACCCTGGGGTCTGCCTTGAAGTGCTGATCACTCATAAATGCAGCTGGAATTAAAGGAACTGTGCTTTCAGCTTACTACCCAATGTTAAATATTGTGAAAAAGATAGGAGCAGGATATCTCAAACTGGATTCCCAAATTAGTAGGTGCTTTCAACTTTGATTTACTCAGCCTCAGTTGCCATCTGTCAAATGAGGACAATAATCTCTCCTCATTTCATGGAGGTGTTGTGAAAATAACTTCATTAATGGTTTTTGAAGCACTGTAGTGTTAAGTGCTATGCAGAAACCTAGGAGGAAATTAATAGTTCTGTCTCTGGAGCAAGTTCTGAAAAGCATGCAATAAAAAGGGCCTGAAGGCACACACTTAAATGAAGAAAAAAATAAAATATTGGATTTTATATACTTGAACAAAATATTTGAACTGCTCAATGAGTGAGTGCTGTACTTGCATTATCCAGCAGATTTCATCCTGATTTTAAACTCTCAACTCATAATCTCAGCCTTTATTTGTAAATTACCATGTTTCTAAAAATTTGCATCTATCCAGCTCTCCACAAATACCATAGTGCAGAATTCTACTGATAAGCCTGTGACTCAATAGCATCACTAGGAATATTTAGAGTCGCTCTACAGATCTTAATCATTTCAGCTCATGAAATAAGGCAACAATAGCCTCTTTCTCAACAGACACTAGTACTTCAAGGAAAGATCACATTTTGACAAGAGATTTTGATGGTATACTGAAATAGCAAAAGAAAGGTGCAATTCAAGGGAGAAAAAGTGCTCAAAATTTTACACAGAACAATACATATTCGCTTCCTCTCCAGAAATAATCAAACCATTTTGATCATAGTCTTTCTAAATGTTTTGCCCCAAGAGGAGGCCCAATGTGGATGTTATCAACCCAAATATTTAAAGTTTGTGAAGAAATGAATTTTAAAAATCCTGTTTACAGTAATTTATAAGTGAGGATTTTCAGTTAATCTTAATGACAGTCAATATTCTCTGCCCTGTCTAGAATACACATGCTTACACTGTTCTACACAGTGTTTTGCTTGCTGTGCAAGCATCTCTCCTAGCACATCTTCAGTACTGAGAGGGTTTTGCTATTTATGATTTTTATTATACACTCTTTATCTGTTTCTAGGGAAGAATATTATTCCTTAGCTTCCCTTAAATAATATGCAGATGACTAATCACTGTGGCACCCAGGAAAGATATGTCAGGTAAAGTAAACATTCTGAAAAGAATGAACCCTTGAGCTCTCCCTGCCAAATACTCTTACCTGGAACTGTCACAATGATTGTGGTGCAACCAAAGAAGGAGCCTTTGATGACTGAGGAGTTATCTGAATGAAACAGCTTGGTGAGTAGAAAAAAAGCCTATTGCCAGTTAGTCTAAAGCAGTGCCATTTAATAGAAATAATAGAACCACAGGGCTGCTGGTCTTTACCATAACAGCAAGGCCATCAAATGCATTTCTAAAAATGTGACTGAAAAAACTATTGTCTGCTTTACTTCCACTTGTTCAATTTGCTTAAAAAGTACAAAAGCGTTGGCTGGTTTTGGGCTGAACAACATTAGGCTAGTATGGTTTATAAGGGGCTGGAGCTAAAACTAGAACTGCAGCTCCCCCAACACCAACACAGAAAAAAGGACATCCAGTGCCCTACATCCCTTCTACAACCAGACTTTATAAAACAAGTGCGTGGAACAGTGTTTATGTTAAAGATTCCCAGGGGTAAAAAAAAAACATTCCAAACATTATTATGTTACTTGCAATATGAAAGACGATGCAACCTTTTTTAGGTGTGCTGAAACAATCTGGTTTAGGTGTGCTATGGCAGAAACCACCTGTTCTTTGAAGTTGTTAGGAACGGTTCTTATGTGTATATGAAGCCCAACTTCTTACATCTCCTTCCTACCCTAGTGCTGGCTACTCAATCTAGAAAGCAATCTCCCCAAAATTTAAATTAATATTTGCAATGTCCTCTCCATACTTTCACTTTTTCTCCCTAGCTATCTTACTTTATCTTTACTTCTCCTGTATTTTGATACCAAATCCAGTTGTCTGAGTAACAATTCTGATGCCCTCAAACTCGTCATGCAATGCCATGTAAGGATCAAATGAGGACTTTGTCTAAATTCCTGGAAGTGTGAAGCCTAACAGATAAGATATACTGGCATGCAGCCTGTGACAGCATTTAGGAGGCCAACACCCCATCTCCTCCAGAGTCCCCACAGATCTGGGGGACTCACACTGCACACACAGCCCATAGGCAAATTAGCGAGAACAGGGTCAGTTTCAGGGACAGCAAATGCCCACAGATCTCCTGACTACCAATTTCACTTCAATAAATACTGTCAAAAAATTTCATATAATCAGTTGTGTCACTTACCTGTGGTGCAAATACGCTTTTTGTCAGATCACCTCCTGTTCAAGAACTCTAGAAAAAAACCCACACAAACAAAACAGTTAGTAATTAAACTTATTTAAATCATATCTTTTCCAGCCAAGTACCCATAAAACCTTCTAGTACCATTCTCCGGACAGAATTCAAGAATAGCAAGGACACATCTATAATGAAAAGTGAATGCCTGAGCATCCTGAAATCTATTTCATATTTGATAATTGGTACCTTTCTTCCATTTAGAGTTTTCATATTATGCAAATGCTTATATACTGTGAATCAATGAAGTATAGAAAGATAAGCTTCAAGTGCATTACGGACAATCAGCATAGACTAGAGCTCAGGATGCCTGGGTCTCCCTGAGCCTTTGGAAACAATCAAGGTTCATGGTGTTCATGCATTGCCTCAAGGGAAACACACATAGTTTCAGTGACATAATGCACACAAAGTGATATGAGTTTTTGTAGCAAAAGTATGACCTGCAAATGCCTGTCCTTCATAAAAACAGCTTTCAATAGCATAGTCATCAAATCCAGATTATATACTTTACAGACCCCAAATGTGCCCACATTTCAGACCCTGAAATAGAAAACCTTATTCTTACACCAGAGTATAAGAATTTGTTTATCAATCAAGTTCAAATGAAGTTCAATAAAGGTCCAACTATAAAAGGCAGAACACTATTTCTTGAAAATTCTGAAGCTCTGCAAGACAGAGAGGGTTCAGCAAAGGGCAACTTTAGCTGGTCTCAAACACAGTCTGAGGTAGAATAGAGGGGGAGGGAGGGAGGCAGAGAGAGAGAGAGATAGAGTGCCAATCTCCTCTAAAGAGGTGCACCAGTAACAGGATGGGAAATAATCAAAACCAAGTTGCAAGAAGGAATATTACAATTAAATATTGTTAAAGTGGGAAAAAAAAATCATCATTAGGACAGTAAAAAAAAAACATATAGGGCAGAGATACTGTGCAATCCCTGCCACTGGAGATGATCAAAACTTGACAGGACCAGTGCTGAGGAACCTGATCCAAGCTGGCCTTGCTTTGACCTGAGAGTGTCAATTGTTGCTGACTTGCCTGAGGGCTCATAGCCTTCACCTGACACCAGGGTGGAGAGGAGCAGGCCTCTCCTTGTGGTCAGAAGAGACTGAAATCTCCTCTACCATCAAGCAAGTGCAAATTTTAAGAATTTAAAGAACCTTGATCTTTTGTTTTGTGTATCAAAATTAATGGTGGTTCACAGTATGTTAATGAGTAATCAAATAACTGGTAAGTTTTCTGCAGAGAAAGCCCAGACCTCCAGCAGGCAAACTGCCCCATCATAATGGCATCTTGCACCTGGAAACCACTGTAAAACAAGCAAGTCACGTGCTATTTCATAGATGTATTAAACTACTTCCTGTTGTGGCTTCCTTAAAACCCAGTAAAAAGTGAGATTTGATACAGAATAGAGGCAAACACCCTGCTGTGCCTCTCTGATACAGAATAGAGACAAACACCCTGCTGGGCCTATCTGGTTTCCAAACAAAAGCCTAGGGTGGAGAAGGGGGGAGGCAGTTAAAGCTCATAGTAGGTGGGGCTCTACTGCCGAAATTCTGGAAACATCACATATCAAATTCATTAAATCAATTTTCAGTTCCTAAATATTCACAACAGATTGCCCTAGAGGTGGCCTAGATTACCCATTCTTTGTAACAAAGGGAAAGCTTAGCTAATATTGCCCCTAAAAATCTGAGGCCAGCCTTTGTGAAATACTTTGTGTTACTCAAGAAGGAAACGAACACAACTTTTGAAGAGGTGCAACACTGAGGCAGAACTGTTCACAGAAAGTGACTTGTCTCTGGTCATAGAGGTTGAAATAAGAGCCAGTTCACACTTCAACCTGTGATATCAGAGGACTAGGTCCCAGTAGGAATCCAGTCAGCATAATAACACTGAAGAGAACATATTGTCTTATATGGGTTTTATATTTGCTTCTACAAACAGCTCCAGAGACTGTTAAACACAGAAATCAAACTGAAATGATCAGAATAGAGCAAACTTAATAGCAGACAAATTTGTACAAAAGTTTTGAATTCAAGATTACAGTGAATAAAACACTAGACTGGATTGCAGGAGAGACAACACAGAAATGAAATGAAACCACTAAAAGTTTATGAAGCATCTCTCTTTCTCATTGTTCATTTCTTTTGCTACCCAACCTTCATGTAGCAGAGTTTCAGAAACCAGCATTTCACACCATCCATATTTAAAAGTGACCCCTACAGAATATTTTCAGTTTAAATAAGAGTTTGTGCTTTCTTGGTTTGTTTTGGGTTTTTTTCAGCTATGCCTTCTGTCAAGTGCCCACCAAAGTACTAGATGAACCATGCCAGTCTTCACCATCCATGAGTCTTATATAAATTTTCCTGGCTGGAACTACAGGTGGCCTACATCATGGGATATATTTTTCCCTTACATCTTAGAATCGTAAAATTTATAGCAAGAAATTCAAACCAACATAAATTAGTAATTCAATCCCTGTATTCCAATTTAATGAACCAGAGGTTACATTACTTTATTGTTTTGTGCCAGTGGACCAATCATTTGGTTTACAGATGGAATGTAGTTCTTTGTTAATAAATAAATGCATAAAAATAAAGGTATCCTCAATGCAATTATGCTGATATCCCTCAGGAACCAGAATGCAATTATTTAAAATATTATTTTCTTAGATTACTCTCAAGAAAATAAGGAAAGAAATATGAAATTTGTGTCCTCTTAACTTAAACTCATTTTAAGAGCATCAACAATGATGCAGGTAGTCCCCAGTGGCAACTGAGAAGCACTTAGCCAGAAAATTGTTATTGGATTACAGTTCTGGCTTCATAAAATGTGGCTAAAGATCATTTTAGACATCCATGGAATGACCCATTGTCATAACTGGTATGACAAACAAGTGACAAAGTTATTCTACTCAGCTATTTTGAGGATTTTTCACATCACAACAGTAACTTGGGGCTGTATCAGCCTACACAGTTTTGATTCAATTATAAAAATAACTCACAATAAGAATAATTCTAGCATAAATAATTGAATCTCTCCGGAGGAAAAGAAAAATCCCCACAAACATGTTCATATACTTTCAAGTGTTCCTGATGTATAAAGAATTGTGAAGTGATAGGGTGATCAGAAGTCAATTCCAATTGAGAACTACCTTTCAAACTCACTGGTTTTCTTTATTAAGACAAACAAGATGAAAAGGGCACCAAAGGACACTGCATGAGTTTTAACAACGCGCAAACTGAAACCACTTAGGTACCACTAAGGTTCATACGATCCTTTTCATTTCATTTTACAGTCTCTTTCAAAAAGATGATTTCCTGGATGAGAATCCTGCCTCCCATATTTTAATCTGCTGATAAGCGCCCCCCTCCACCCACCCACTAATGTGCCTATATAGCAGATGCACATGTGCACACTTAAATAAATGCAAACAAGAAATAAAACTGTTCACCTTCACATTTGAGGTCACCAGTGGCCACTGGCAACACAGTAAAAATCAGAACCTTAATCAAAAACCTAACATGGGATTTAATTTCCTATGTAAGGTCTTTGTCATTTTTCTTCCCTGCCCATTACACAGTATGTCTTTGCTCATATAATTACATAATTAACATCCTCAGCACCTATTTCATCCCTTGTTAATTTTGCTAAATATAAAAACAGACATGCTCAAGGAAACAAACTTGGCAAGTGAAGAAGCATAAACAATTTAAAAGGAAAGAAATAAATCTATTCACATCCTGATAATTGGTATGTGTAACTGAGCACTACTAGGTGCTAGTAATCCACATGATGGCCTTCTGACTAGAAGTGCACATGCAAGAACTGCTTTTGCTGGACTGACAGAGATCACCTCAAAGTGTGGGTACAAGGAGGTCTTGGTTTTGTTTTTCTGTAAGCAGTGTTGAGGCTTGTAGCACCAAAAGGGCAGGAGTGGCAGTTGATAAACCACATTGGTCTCATAAAACCATTGGTTCCCAAATCTTTTTTCTGAAAATCAAAAGGATTGTGGATGGGGTGGGTGGATGGAGAGAGGGAGATAAAGTTGGCAGCTAAAAGCCCTTAAGATTTTGCAGTTTATTCCACAGTCCAAATTCACATTTAGCTCCCATTGCTCTATGACTATCATCATAATTCAATTGAAGATATGAGTGTGAAGATTAGGGGCCAGCAAAGGGTTCTTCCTTCACACCTTTGACATGAAAGAAGAGAGCAAGTAGCAAAAAGTCTTTAGTAATCAAACAATTGGTAAATTTCCCAAAGTTTTGATTGATTCACCCTTGGCAAGCAAATTGGCTGTTTTATTTCTTCCTCCACAGTGTCCAAAAAATAATTCTGTCCATCCTTGTGAAAAAAGGAAAATTTCAGATAGTTTCTATTTAGTGGGGTGGCAGAGGCCAGATCTTTGTTCATCCTAACATACAGACCTTCACATATAAGACCAGATTTTAAAACTGTTACTCACAAAAAAATTTAATTTGTTCCCTGAATGATACCACCAGGTCATGGAGGGTGGTGTGATTAAATGAAAGGAAGAGGATCACTAACTGTTGTTTGCATCACAGACATACATTTAAACTTACTGCTTCCAGAGAGGATACTGTCTCTCTATGCAAATGCACAATATAATTTGATCCAGCAGCTTACAAACAGAACTCAGAAGTCCTTCTCATTAAGAGTTAGCATTGAACTTGTTTTGTCACATTCACCAGCCACCCAGCCACTACAATCTTGAAATAATTCAGCAAGCTTTGTCCCCCGGTGTACTGTGCTGACCTGCTTATCCCTAGACTTCTGTTTAATTATCCAAAAGTGCACAAGAAAACAGAAAGTCCAGTCTGAACCCTGATGATGTCTCAGCAATTTCTTCTCCCAGCACATACTATTTCAACAGCCAGTGATCACTGGAGTTAAAGTGCACACAAGCAGCTGAATAGGATGCAATTCTTATTCTTATGATGAATATCAGGGTCAGAGGTGAGTGCCAGATAACA